TGCGCCGCATTCGCGATTGTTGCCCGACGCCTGTTTGCAGGTGAGCCCACTACAGTTGTTATAGGTACATATCTAAAAACCGAAAAACTTTTAGGCGAAAAAGGCACTATTCCAGGCCCATTTTTGATTTTTTTTTGCGATATTAGGTAAAAACAGAAGCTTCTTATCCTAGGAAAAATAAAATGGGAAATCTTTCAAAGGTGGCACACTACCTTTAAAGCTCGCTTCCAGGGTTGTAAACCTAAAAACAATCCCGTATAGCTCACATTGTAAACTAAGCTTAACGGTTATCGTGTGGTAATCGGAACGTCACGGTTCGTGGGCACGGAAGCCAAACCAATTAGCTCCCAGCCCACGATCGTCCCAAAACTGGACACTTCAATTCTTCCAGGGAGGCAAATCAGCAAGCTAAACAGCAAGGGGTCCGCCCACCATTTTGACCAGCCTACACCAGAAGCCAGGATGTGCGGCGCTCTCCGGTTCCTCTCCTGCCAAACCAGCGCCATACCTGGCTCAATGCAGATGAGGTCAGACTCTCACCATGCTCTACTCTGACCCCAAAGGGGCCCTTACTTGGAATCTTCATCGAGTACCTATCTATTCTCCCGTCATTCCAAATATCCAGCAACTCCTTAGGACACCAACCCAGAGCTCTCTATAACCTTCCACATGAACCACCCCAGCCATGTCCCTCACCCGACCGGCCACGGTCTGGCCGTCTGCCCGGCGGTGAGACAGGTTCAGGAGGCCCAGGCAGGAGGCCCACGCGCCACAGACCGGTCCGTGAACCCAGTGACGGGCTGCCACACGGTGACGCAGTTGGCAGCTCACGGAGAACGACCGGGCGTGGCCGACGTGCCGCCTGCAGCCCCGAGCGGCATTAGCGGCATAAGCGGCAGAGACCGGTTGATGCTGATGACATCATGAACGAGTCACATTTGATAAAAATATCTGTAGGGCCGGCATCATCTGGATAGAAATCAGCCGTTCTCTCATGTGTCCATGTAAGGGTTGGTCAAATAAGATTTTAAATACTTGCCATGGCCGTACCAACTCACGAGCCTTTTTAGGCTTTCCATCCGGTCGGCAGCTACCGCCCACTTCTCTTTCTTGAACTCCCTTTCATGATCATCCGCCGTTCTGTCCCGTAATGAGACACTTCCCCTCCCCACGACACCCTACAGGTGCTCACAGCTGGCCTAACTCCCGACCTCCGCCCCTAGTCGGCTGGGTGTGGTGACACTCCGCCGCACCTGGGACAACCCACAGGCCACACACCAGCTGCTTATCAGCGACCCGTCGCGCGCGGAAGACGGACTCAAGCCGCTCTACAGTTGAAAATCATGCCGAGTAAGTGGCGGTAAAATGATGTCCCAAGGGTGTGTGATGGTACGAAAGTAGATCGTGGAAGATTCAAGTGCAACAGGTGTTCATGTTACTGGATTCATTTCATGGCGCCGCTCGAATTTATGTGGGGAGAGCAGGAGAGGCCGACAGTTTCATTCATTCATTCATCCATCCATTCATTCATTTACCCGGGAAATTGACACAGCGTTTCTCGGCAGCACCGCACCAGCTCAGGTCAACAGTAACACAGCCCGCCAGATAATACACGAGGCGCATCCAGCCTGCATGCGATCTGGAACGCTTCAGTGGAGCAAAACACAACCACCGAGCCAAACCAGCCAGACCGGGACCAGTCTAACCACCAGACTTCCAACCAGTCAGCATCGTGGCTCGCCAGTAACCAGACATCGCATTGACCGTCCAATGACCTCGCATGTCACTGCCACCAGCTCATGCATTATTCCCGGCCAAGCCCTCACGTCTCCGTCACGTCATCTGAGCTCACCGCAAGGGCTGGGGAAGCTCGCACATTCTGACAGAGAGGCGACAATAACAGACGGGCCGACACACGGCCCTGGCACGCGGCGGCCGACCGGCGGCGTCTTACTTTCACCGACCAGCGGGCGGGGCCGGCGCCGGAAGCCCTGAGGCGGCTGGATTAGCGCCGCAGCTTACCGCTGTAGCTCGGACTTGTAACTCAATGCTTCAACATCCAACAATTATCCGACCTCTACAACAGTCTACACACCTAAGTCTAACTTGTCGATTCTTATGTCACACACTCACCCCAGCTCAGCACCATGGCTCATGAGCTTTGAAATGCTGCTCATCACCTCCCCAGAGCTCACCACAGCTCACCAATCACCAAAACGCTCCCACAGCGACCTCATGGCAGAGATAAACTGTCGTCTATCGCCGCGCAACGCCTGTCGCCACGGCTGGGAGACGACCGCGCTCGCTCGCCAGCCATGGCAAAGATTCGCTCTTGGCAGCCGCCCAAAGCGCCGCCGGGCCCGTCTCCGAGTCTTAGACAGTTTAGGCTCTGGGGAGGGAAGCAAACACCACAAGCCCTACCGCGGTCGTGGATTATCACAGAATCAGCTGGGATTCGAATCCGCCCTAACCCGGCGACTTCTCGGGTCAGCTGGGGACACAGTCTGGCATGGAGCCACCCAGCTGACGTTTCGCCAGCCGGGGTCGACCTTTCCCTGTCCCCAGAGCTGGGAAGGGAGGGAGGGGGCGTCACGCGACCCGGCCTGGCGACATGAGAGCACGCCGGCCGGACCGTCAGACGGACGGTCAGACTGGATGTCGCTGACCGGCCACTGACCCAGAGGTCAAGGACGGGACAGCGCCCAACAGCTGATAGATGAATATAAACAAATGCAGGCCCCACGACAATCACACTCGGTGAGATTGGAACATCTTAGAGAACCGACATATCCCCGCAGAGCGTCACAGAGCGTCAACTTTAGTCTGCTCCCAGTTGGATGATAAATGAAGCTGTGAAGATAAGCCCGCTTTACGGCCGCAATTCGGTAACAACTTGGAATATGGTGACAGGTAGAGCGACGGCAGCCCGACAGCATACGACAGGTAGGCGGGAGAGCGAACTGTCGAACCAAGCCGACGACTGATTGATACTGACTGAGCTGATTGACTGACTTACTGACTGACAGTACGACAAACAGACAAGCTGACTTGACTGACTTACTGACAGACTGACAGCCTGACTTGACTTGACTGAATGACCGCCAGTGGCGAAAGCCGACCGCCGGCAGCCGATTAGTATGACTGAAGCCCTCCGCCCCGCCCAGTCAGGCGCGCTGCGGTAGCGGCTCCGCCCAGAAGCCGCCCACTCGACCCGGTTTTAGCGTTCAGCCGAAGGCGAATTGGTGGACTCATGAACTGACTGGCCGCGCGGTCAGCAGCGGTCACTGGGTCATCCCGGGTCACACGGTGGTTATAAGTGACCCAGCAGGTCAACTGAGGTCACGTTAGGTCATGGCACCGGCAGGAGAAGGGTGCACAAGTTGTGACTCATCGGTGGAAGGTGCTAAAGTAGAATCGATTGTGCTTTATGACAGGATAACGAGTTTATAAAACGAATACTGCACGTCCTCAGTGAGTCAGAGCAGGGGTGGGTGTAAAACAGCCCCTTTAAACCTGCGCCTCATGACTGACCACTCTCCTGAAACCGCGTAGTCGGCGAATGTTTACTTTTGACTCAAAGCAGTCAATTCGCGCCACACCCCGATCGATTCACCAACCAGAACATCTGGTTTACCCGGCCAACATCAAAGTTCCAATCCAACCCAGACCAGCAGGTGAAACGGGCAGATGTATGTCAGTGGACGGCCTGCCCCGCCCCCAAACGGACCCAGTGTTACCCTCTGTCATCTCAGCTGCCTGATGTAAGCACCCACCTGTGGCAGTTCTCCACACAGCATCCCGCGCCGGTCGGCTCTCTCACAGCTCACCCACTCACTCACTCACTCACACCGCCCCAGCTGAGCTCACCGGCCGCTCTGAGCTGCCCCGCCCTCCCCGCTCGCCGCCCGCCGTCGAATGCCGACCGGCGGCGGCGGCGGCGGCGGCGGCGGCGGCGGCGGCGGCGGACCGACGAGATCCGCCCGGGTGCTGGGCGAACCCGCCCACCGACCCGCCGGCACCGTCACAGCCCGAGTCAGAGTCAGAGTCATTGTCAGCGGCACAGTCACAGCCAGTCAGCAAACGTGACGCCATGCAAATGAGTGATGGCAGCGGATAAATATGGAAAGTGAGAACAATAACAAAAATACAAGCATCACAATTGTAGAAACACCAAGGATACAGTACCACGAGAAGAACGCGGAAGAAAACAAGTGCGTAAAGCAATGCTATTTGTCAGACATTTACCTAATGGCGAGGGCGGGGAGCGTGTTAATGGCTCGCCGGCGGTGTACCTCGGCAGATACGACCAAGGAATGTTGATGAATTGCGACGTGACAGGTGGGACTCCTCTGTACTTCATTAGTCTAATTAAGGACGGACCAAACCGTGTTCGCCAGGTGAAGACGATGGGCTCGACACGTCAACGATCAAACATAAAGTTTTGCCAAACTGACATTTTCGATGTGTGAACAAGCCAGATCGGAACTCACAAAAAAAAATGAACTCACAATAAACCGGGCGATAAAAATGTAAACAACATATAATCTCCATTTCCTAGCCTCCGTGGACTATACAGTCTATTGAAGAATAGTAAAAGCTAAATAGATCTAAAAAAAGCAGTGCCCCAGATAAAAGTGAAACCAATCGCGTGTATCTTGTCACCGTCACGGAATGCGAATACGCACGTGCGTACGTGACACGAATGTCACGCTCCAGTAACCGTGAATGTTTCACTACCACCTGTTCCATCTGCTAATTATAGAAAAAAAGGAAACCAACTCCACGGGATACCTCAAATAGCACTTATGCCCCTGCCCACTATAGATGAAAAAGAAAACGGTTGATTCGAAATATGTCGCAGCTGCAAACTACATGGCATGATCAGCCAAGCATTCGTTTGTACTTACGAAAATCACGTCCATTGCAGCTATGACGAGAAAAGAAGAACGATTAAAACCATGACAACATACCAAAGGTAGCGAAGTGGGTGATATACTGACCATCAGCATGTATTCGTATTCCAGTTCCTCCCAGTAGAGCGCCTCCTCCAGATCCCAGTCTATGTAGGGGCTGTACAGGGCGGCGCGCCCGAACGGCTGAGGGATACAGTAGGATACAGTGTTGGATACGGATAGGGATCGGATAGGATGGGAATGGAATGGAAGGGATGGGATGCGGTGGGATGGGATGGGAGTGATGGGATAGGACGGGATGACAATAAAACTGCTTGGGAAGCAATAACACTGTTAGAATGGTACTAAACATGACGGCATAGGAAAGAAAAGTGTAATACAGGACAGAGGACACGACAAAGGGTAGACCGGCGCAGGTAATAGGACAAATGACATAACAGGAGATAATAAGATATTGGATAGGAAAGAGGAGACCTGGCACGGATAAAAAATGTCGTCTCTGCATTTAACACCAGCATGTTGTTCTCAATAAACGTCAATGTTAGAACTTGTTCTCTCAATGTCAGAACTTCTCAATAAATAAGTTCTGACAAAAAGTTAGGCGTAATTATCAGCCAAAATACAGTATCACGTTAAAAACAAAAATGTTGGGCGATGCAAAAATGTGAGACAGTAACAAACACGATGTTTACAATTTACTAGGATGGCGACCGAATTCCGATCCACCTCACCTTGAAAGTGCAGCGGTGGTGTGAGCAAGTTGGATATCTTACCTTATTGACGATTACTTGCCGGGCAATGTCAATGCCTACAGCTCTGTAACGTAAAAGCATTCTACACAAAAGAAAAGGCCGTAATGAGCCACGTTTACGAGCTAATAGTGTGCAGTGTGGTTTACAAGCCAGGCATCCCCCACAAAAAGCGTCACATAAGCCCCGGTCGATCTGCATCAAGCTCATTCCCAAGCCGGTCCCAATAATTCACATCCGATATAACCAAGCTGCTGCTCGTCGGCCCGCTCGTTCATAATCGCTGCCGTCACGACCAAGTCATTTTTCCCAATGCCCGTCACCCGACACCAAACGATCACCATTGTGGTGCAGTTCACAGCCATTCACCCCAGTTCACCAATAGGCCGATCACCAGGCCACTCTAAGTTCCAACCGTCACCACCACCACCAATTCCATCACCAATCACCACCGTTGTCCCACCAAGCACCCCGTCTCCTTGCACACATGCCGTGCAGGTCCCACAAACCACACACACAGCTCTGACCTCAGGTCACAGTCTCCGTTTCTATCTCTACCCTCCGTCCGCGGCGCCTCGCCCGGCCGGCGGACAGGACGGAACGTGCAGGGTGACTGCCGATGTTGGAGCGAGTGCCGGTTGACCCACTGCGGGGTGGTTCTGTAACAGGACGACAGGCCGCGAGCCCGGCAGGCGATTAGTGGGCGGCTACGTGGGGGGGGGGGGGGAGGGCACAAACTGACAGGCATTACGTGAGTGAGCACCGCTAGTGTGCTAGGGTAGTTTATGATGATCAGTGGCTGGTGAGTGGACAAAATGGGATGATCATCTTATCCGGTATGTCATTTAACTAAAGAGATAGAAGATCACACATTCTTGATTACTTACAAATAACAGACACTATAATGACGCATATATTCAGACGTTTAAATGTATCAGTATATCCCCGAATCCAGAATTTTGATAAGTCACGAGAATCGATAAAATCGATATTGAATGAGCGAGCTCATAATCGATCAAAAACAGATTTTCGGAACGTTATAAATCGGCACTATCGTTATTTTGGGATAAACCAGCCAGCATGGTAAAAGTCGTGACCGTGTTGCATTCGTGGAAACCAATAAATGCAGCGAAACAAACGTACGCACATAAAGGCCGCTATATTATTCCATCTATCCAAAACAGTAAGTATGTATGTAACACCATAACAACCTTATAACCGAAAATTCATCTATCCTAGTACGCCCTAACCAAAAACACGCATCATTCTCAGCTCTATCCGTCTATCGCAGGCCATGCGGGGCGTCCCGATCACTCACCGTTTTCTCTGTAGTTTGCGGGCTGTTCACTGAGCGCTGGGTAAGATTTTGTGGCTGCAGCAGCTTTGAACTCTCGGCCGGCGCTGCTGTTTGCCTGGGGCCGGGCGGCACGGGTCCTGTAGCCTTCAGCTTCGGACGTCCAGGAGGCTGAGCCTGGACGGAGCTGGTGGGAACAGGCAGGGTAGCCGCAGTGGATGGTGGTTGTGTGCCTATCTTTGCCGCTTGGTGAGTCTCCGTCTCAGTCTCCACCGAGCTGGAATTAGGCTCTGGAGTTCCAGTAGCGGTAGTGGTAGCGCCTGCCGTCACCGAGCCTGCTTCCCCACACTGACCAGTCACCTGTGATGACTTCACTGCACGTCCTCCACCACCATCCACAACATCCCCACTGAGACTCTTCCCATCAGTCTGCTTAGTCTCCACCTTACCACCCTGAGTCTCCACCACTCTTCTCCCCACACCATCCACCATCCCACCAAAAGCTTCTCTCTCCTTGGTAGATCCATACCGCGCCCCACATCCAGCCACCACCTCGGAGAAGCTCCTCTGACGCAGACCGAGTTCCGCTCTCGCACCACCCGCACACACCGCCTCACGGACAGTCTCCGCCCCCTCCCGGCCGCTGGCAGATTCAGATACACTGCGCCGACGACCTCCGAGGGAGGGACGCGGTACGGGGGTGGTGATAGACGGTGGACGGCGGCTGACTACCTCGGAGAAGCTCAGTTGACGAGGCCCGGGGGATGGAGGAGGAGCGACGGCAGAGGTCGTTCCCTGTGGGCGGTACGAGCGGTCAAACGAAGTCCAGTGAAAAAATCCATGTTCACAACAATTTTGGCTAGAGCTAATGGCTAGAGATTTATGAATGTACGCGCGACAAAAGTGCCCAAGGATTTCATATGAAGGCATGAACCGCAAAAACAAAGTGATCCATCACCATCTCATATCCAAGCCATCGGCTATTCAGATACAGCTTCCGTTCTGAATATCTACAACTCGCTCAAATAGTTCCCACTTTCCATTCGCTGCCGGCGTACTCTAACTAAGGCAACCGTTGATAATCACATCACTCGCCTTTTCTGGGCTATCCTGGCTGGGTTTGGTTCGACCCGCCATAGCTATTTGGCTTTGAGTCCGTCTCAGAATCACAGGAGCCTTTGCTGCCCCGTGTGTGCCCTCATCCTTGTTCGAGGCAGCTGGAAGGGCAGCTTTAGCTGCAGGGGCCTTAGATGGCGGAGCAGTAACGCCTCTGCCGACCGCTGAGGGCAGCTGAGGTTTGCGGGTCGCCCAGGAGGTGGCAGCACCGACACCTGCTCTGGGTCCGGCTCGCTGTGGACGTAAATATCCAACGTCACTATACTAGCACCCCACTACACAGCAAACATTTGAATCAGGAATGGATTGTGAATGAGTAAACAACAGTATCTACCAACTGAAGCATCTGCGATAGGAGACAATTGCAACGAGAGGGCATTGAGAGCGTTCAAGTCTGAAATTGGAAGTTAGAGAAAATATAAGGTGTAAGAGATTCCCCAACATTACTTCCCGCCTCCCACCCCCGCCCCATTATCAACAGCCACCAAAAGCTGATCATCCACCTCCCACACCATCCCGTCCTTCCCCCCTCCCCTCCCCAGAACACACCGTACCTGAGCGAGTGGCGGCCGACCAGTGACAGCTCCCGTACGGACGCTAGCGGCAGCAGCGGCGCTCCCCGGCTGCGGCCCGGTGCGTCTGATGCTGGTCGGGGCTGGCGCAGTGGTTCGGAGCACCTCTGAGAAACTCCGCTGACGCTGTGGCGGCGGTGGTGGGGTAGCAGTGGTGGGACTACTGGTTGACGGTGTGGAGTTGGCAGACATCGAAGGAGAGTGGAATGAGGTCGGAGTCGGAGTTTGAGCCGATGTGGTAGTCAGAGTGGTAGAAACTGCGGTAGAGGATGAAGTTGTAGCTTCAGTGGTAGCTGATGTAGAACCAACCGGAGAAGTAGTCGTTGAGGTAGTGGGAATTGAATCGCGAATCGGCTTGGCATCTCGGTCAGACGGAGTCGCGGTGGCTGGTAGGGCAGCCTCGGTGATGGAAGCAGGAGCGGCAGATGGTGTGGTAGCCGGTGCAGTAACCGAACTGGCAGGCTTAGTAGTTGTCACCGTAGCAATGCTTGCAGCCGGGGCTGAGGTGGCCACAGAGACGGGGCGCGGCCGGCGACCGCCCAGCCCCGTATCCTGGGCAGGGAGAGAGCACACATTGACACAGCGATATTTACACGTCTGAACGGCGCTAACATAAGAGAACAATGCGTGTATTGTATTATATGTTAGCTCATATCTTACCCGAGAAGGTTTGAACGCTCCTTTAGCCGTTCTTCCAGCGTTTGTTAGCTTTCACTTTTACGAATTGTGTGCAATCGCATTAACGGCCTACACTGACATAAGTGAGCAATTTATGTGGGGTCTGCAATTACAGAAGCCTGCATCATGAAGGCAATTATAGGAATTTCACAAATTAACTAAATTGGACACATATGCCTTCCAATTACTGGTTTACCATTAGTGACCATAATTATGGGTTTCCGAATAACACCCAATAATTATGGTCCACTGAGACAAACAAAGGCGCCCAGAATAGCAGGTTCTCCCAAAAGACAACACCCAAGTCTATACTCACCACTTTAGCGGCGACATTGGCGTACAGTTGTCTCCGTAGGGCCAGCGAGGGTGACCTCAGGTCGGCAGGCGGGGGTTGGGTGCGGCGCTGGGCGGTACCCCCACCGCCGCCGGTGGGAGTGCCGGCCGGGCCACTCTGAAACTCCGCACTCGGTAACGCAGACACTCCGCAAAAACTTCACGAACACTCGGCAAACACTCCGCGCACACCCTGCCTCCAAACACACTCAGGGACACGCACAAGCGCGGCGGTCGGCACTTGGAAACTATAGGTAGGACAGATCGGCTCTCGAGCACGTACGTATGTACACTTTGCTCGCGACTTTCGCTTGAGGCGCTCGGATATAACGCACACTACACAGCTACAAGGCGCCTGCAGGCTGCAGAAGGCATCATCGAATTCCTTCTGCTGATTATTTCCAGGAACGAGGCCGCACACCCTCGCTGCCTGAGATTTCCATCATGTTATCACACCACGGCTTGTAAACCACTCACGCGGTGCCGCTTAGCACAAAATATCAGGCCACACCGCAAAATCAGTCGCATTGCCAACACTGACACGGCCATCATACCCCAAAGCATAACATCAGCTCACGTACGAACATTTTTACGATCCATATTTAGCCAGTACCAGTAGCGGCGGAACACCTTCAATTGAGGGGGGGGGGGGCACTGCCGGCTTTTGGTCCCATCCTTTCCATGCAACGCCCATAGGGCTAATATTAAAATGCCAAAATCAAAGGGGGCACGGTGCCCCGGTGCCCTCCCCGTTCCGCCGCCTATGGCCAGTACGTCCTCCTTTTCGTATCCTTTTAGTCTTCTCCGTCATGCTACATGACCTCCTCTACTATCCCTCAACACCTCCTCTACTACTCCTCTACAGCTCTTCTACTACTCCTCTACACACCTCCTCTACTACTCCTCTACAGCTCTTCTACTACTCCTCTACACCTTCTCAGTCCTCTACTCACCATCCTGAGCTGCTCCTCCTCGGCAACCGTTCCCAAGTACTCACCACAGATATCACATCCCCCGAACAGGCAGAGGTCACCAAAACTCACCACGTGAAACGGAGGCGCCGGGTTTGCGAAGCTCCTCTCGCGCCGCAAAGCCGCAAAACCGGCCGCCTCCTAGCGGTAGAAGCGTGAAACAACAGTAAGTACAGCGGCCGGCAGACGTCAGTTCGATATTGGCAACGGAGGAAAAACCATGTTAGTTGACGCCGGGGAGGAGGGGGTGTAATGGGGCGAAACTGACGGACCGGGAGGGGTTCGTCGGGTATTCATAGCTGCACACGAGCCCATCAGGGAGACGGGGCTGCTCGGGCGGGGTGGGGACAGACGCGCTGAGTTCTCGGCACACGCACACACATAAACACTGGCAGCGACGGCAGAATGGACGGATCACGGACGCATTACGACTCTCAAGTCGAGAGATACGGCAAGCGTTATTGAACTCAATTCAATGATGGCAACCAAAATCCATCTTAAGCTTAAAAATGAAAGGATAAAAGCTAAAACTGGACCAAATGCGCAACCCTGTGAATAAAAAATGACCAGCCCTTCGGGCACGCGTTCTGTACAGGCAGTCAAAACAAAAGACCCAAGATTTCCACGCCTTGAGATGGTAACTATATACAAGCTACAAAGCACCGTTTCGCTGCATCGTTTTGTCATCGATCTTGTTGGCGTTTATAGCGTTGATAGGTAGTCGAGCCACGCGCAAGTGATTGCAGTCCATCAACACAAAATCAACACAAAATCCTGTACCTATGAGGATCCCTAATTAAACTCAACGAACAAATCGCCAGATCACGCTAGCCCTCGTATTTGACAGTTAACAAACCTGCTGTCTCGCCGTAATACGATAAGGCTGGCGAGATCTATTGTCAGCGACATGGTACCGTGTCCGTTCGATTGACAACAAATCGGTAAGCCAGTCGTTACCGACGAACAATGAATTTCACTGCGCTTGTTTTCCGTACTGGCTCCACGACCGTCGCAAACACGAGTCCAAAACCCACATCCCGTAATCTGTGTTGGTAGATGTTAATTCAATAGAATGCAGACCAGTGTTTACAGAATGCAGGAATGTGCTACACGGTTTGTCTGCGCGGCCGTGACCCCATAACCTCGCGTGCGGCAGGCGCGGATACAAGGGGGGGCCATGGGGGCCATGGCCCCCCCCCTTGGCCGATTTTTTTTTCAAAAATAAAATAAAAAGTTAAAAAGTTAAAAAGCTGAAAAGGGGGCCTCCTGAAAATAAAGTGGCCGAAATCCGATGAGTTTTTTTTAACCTACCCACTTAGTTATTTCTTAGAAGACTAGCTGAGAAGACTTCTTTGTTAGAAGATTGGTAAAGCTTTTCATAACTTGGAGGTCTCTTATACTCAAAGAGATGACCACTTTTACAGGGCCTCCTAACCTGCACAGAGGGCCTCCAAGCCTGCACAGATGTTGAGATGTTGCCTGAACAGCTAGATAAGCTCAATAGACGCAGTTTTTTTGGGGGGGGCCCAACAAGTGGGAAGATGGGGCCTCCAACAGGTGGGATTATGGGGGGGGCCTCCTGGTTTCTAATGGCCCCTCCCTTGGAGATTTTCTGGATCCGCCCCTGGCGTGCGGTGGTCCGTATACTAGCCAGGGATCCCCGACACAATGCCTCTCGTATTTTTAGCGCATACCTATTCTTGTTTATTTACCCCACCCATCAAGAGCACCATTTCAGTGGTAATTTTTCAAGTAAGCCATTTCCTAAACAGCGCCTTTGGGCTATGCCGATGCGTTCGCCGGGTTCGAGTTAAAATTAGCCCATCATAAGTGTCGCCAGGCCAGCTCAGTAAAAATAGGCATCTCGTGACAAGGAAGACGTTGCGGATCAGTTCTGTCAAGTGTCATTATCGCATGTTCTTCCAACTCCGATCGCAATTAATAGATATCAGAAGGAAAGGTAAAGCAAATGAAACTATTTTCAGACTCAACGACAGAACGCTGGATAAAGTCGCCTAAAAACTTTGCAGGTCGATAATTGGCTTTTTCAGTTTTGTGACGACGTTGCAATGATTTATATAATGATATGGGGAATCACTTCGACCTAATGCTATATCCTCCTATGCCGAGATTAATTAAAAAGAAAACTTCTTACGAGTCTCCGCAGATCGTCTCTTACTTTTCCAAATGCATGGACATTCAGCAATAAATTAGGTATTTCTTCTTAGAAGCGTTGCAGCTTGTACCATCAAAATTGGTACTACGACTTTTTTGTGCATCTCATGAAGAAAAATAATGGAGAGAATTTTGTAAATGGAAATCATTTTAGACAGTCCTTCGGGAGCCACCGATTGCTTATCACTGCGTTATAAAGTGAAAGGAGTATCATGTCGGCGGACGTTCTAAATTCTGCTATTCCGACCGCTAGGCCCGGCATAACGGCATGGAAAACCAAAACCCTCAGCAATGCAGGTCCACATGTTATCTCCTAAAATACACCACCATCAGAATAGCGCTGAGGTCGACTGATTAGTGATTAGGTCCCTTTCAGAAGAGCACTACCGCAGGGTTTCATCATCTCCCAATGGACCCGCGTCATCACCCACGTCACACAGACCACGTGACCGTCCCCGTCCCGCCGTCACTCCCGTCACGTCTGCGTCATGACAGTGCCGTCACGTCTCCGGCCGTCACGTCGCCGTCTGCATTCCTGGGCTGGCGGCCGGGCCCGCTCCCGGGCCGTGCAGGCTGGAGGGAGTCGCTCCGGGCCGCCCTGCCCAGCTCCGACACCATATCACGCCTCTGTCACCCGCAGACGGGCAGAAAGACACTGCCAGGCAGGGGATCGCCAGAACGGCGCCTCGCTACGTTGGTCCGTCTCAAAACGCGTCGCGGACCCATGCGAGGCGCCAAGCAGCACGTCTCATGAGAAGCAGTCAGCAGATCGCCGATAGTGAAACCATAACTCATCACCATCCTTGGGTCACAATCAGACGTGTCTGGTCATGGTGTATCAGACGTATCTAGGAATCTGTACAAAAAAAAAATACAAGTAATCCGTGTTACTGGCGACTGGCGAGAGACCGTAACTAACTCGCACCATGCAGCAAGAGAGGATGCTGACGGGGTAACGGCTCGATAAAGAGCCGTTGCCCGTTACAAGAAAGAATATGGCGCTACAAGGGGTTTCACTCCTTATCAAACATCAAGTCAAGGACCGTAAGCTAAATATCTCACGATATGTAAACACCAAAATTTGGGGTATTGACGGATTGTTTTGCGTTGAGGTCGATGACATCCGGTTCAGTGACCCCGACGGTAACGTGATAATGCGCCAACGACTCCAATCCGGAGAAAAACGTGGCTGATCTCGACAACTACCTATAGCAGAACAGCATGAAACGAAATGTGGCGAAAATCAATCAATCGAAATTTGAAAGTAGGATAAATGTGGCGATGTGAATAAAATTTCACGAAACATTGCAATGTTACAAAATCTCATCTTCATACATGTCACGGACAGAGTTATTAATTGCATGAACTGTGACAGCAAGAATCTACTTTTTTTTCGAGAATCTTCCGTGGATAAAAGCGAAAGAAAACTATCGGTGACTAGTTGAACAATGGTGTCACATCGAGGCCTCCACTCGCCCATTTCCGTCCCTCCCTCCTATACCATTATACCATTAGCGCGGAGGGTGAGCTCAACAGAGCACATTATGGCTTCAAAGTCCCGTTCAATACTGGAGTTCTCAGGAACTGCTCAGTGCAAGCCAGCGCGTGTCCATTTGCAACTTCAGTAATTTGTTCAATATCGGACCGCTCAGTAGATGCATTAATTGGCAGCATGTTCGGCTAAGTCGGAGCACGGAAGCGCCTCGAATATCGATAGTCAGTTGTCGGCATTTGCTTTAAATAACGATTCAGAGCAATACAGTTTCAGACGTTTGCATGACAGCATTTGTGATGCTGTGGGCGCCTAGGCCGGTCAGCCGGGGGCCCGGGGCTCGATCGCGCCGATCAACGGTGGGCGCCGAACAAGATCAACCACCGTGCAGACCGCTGACGGCGAGTGCAAGTTCGCGTTGTGTCTGCAGTTGCACGCTATTGTCGCTTCAATGAGCGAAACTCAGCTGTTATGGGCCCCAAGCGGCACGTCAAAATCTAGAAATATAGCGCAGTAAGCATAGCCCTGGGATAAAAAAATTCGTCTAGCATGAATGGAATCGACTCACGCTCTCACGCTCTAATAACAATCCATTGACGAAATTTTCTGGATGTAAATTTGACGACGAGCATATCGAAAACACCATCGGTATGTTTAGATGCCACTTGCCAGGTGAGATCTTCTCAGCATACTGGACTGTGGATAATGTGGAGGGTAGATCCCACGGCATGTGCGAATATGTGCCTGCAATGCGGTGCGAAATACATTGATAACTCGACAAGGAATGAGCTAACAGACGGAACAGCGCTTCTTTTAATCAAACAAAACAGTATTACTATCGTTGTTCAATCATTACGGTACTCACCGCTCTACTCGGATGCACGTGAAAACTTCGTTCGCGCCGCATAGGGTATCCCTGTTGTTCTTTCTTGTTCGATTCCATGATCAGAGTACACGATTGCGATTGGATCAGATTTACAGCTCAGCTGGAAAACAGAGGTTTAAGGTCAATGGCCATGCACTACTGACATCGACCTAACGATGTAAGCAAAACATTATATATCATATGGTAAATGACAAGTTTCCGTAAACTGCATTGCATAACATGGCTATTGGCTACAGGCAAATGCAAAGTTATCCTTACGTCACTAAGATTTTTGTGTTCAATAACCGGGAACCCGCTAGGTGCCTTACGAGGGTCGCTACGTCGGAGTCACACATGGCAGAGCTGCGAGGCGCCTCGAAGCAATAAATATAAATCGCACTTCATACTGTTTCTACACAGTCGGTCTGAAGTCAACAGAGGCCATTTTAAAGTTCAGGTTAATGACCCAGGTTTTGGGTTTTGGTAAGATGGCAAGAAGCAAGTCAAAAAATGGTAGGGGCAATCAGCATCAACAAGCCACTGGTCAGTCGTCACTCTGTCACGTTCGAAAGAACGGGGTTCCGGGCTGACGGTAACACAAATGACATCCAGGCCCAGCGTTTGACCCGTAAATGAGCTTCAATTTCGCCGTAAAAAAGCCTAATACTTATGTCGCTTGACGTCTCAGTCTGAGTATGTAGGCATGTTCCCACCCCCAAATGCCCTCAAATGCCCAAATGCCTCTCCCCTCCACGCAAGGCCCGGAAAAGGCCCTAAGTACGCCACCACGGATCCGGCAGTGTCCAAAACAACAATAAAATCGAGCCGAAAAAAGTAGTTTTCATACAAAAAAAGATAAGCAAAGGGGACAACATGGTATTTATTTATCTATATTTTGAATGGCGATGCTTTTGAAAGCCCAGGCAGGAGTTAGGCAGGAGCAGCAGCGAATGAGTTCAAGTTATGCGGGCAAGTGGGGGGCGGGGGCCTTACATTCGTCGCAAAGTACATGGAAAATAACGGCTAAAGAACCCGCGCATCTAATGTCGCTCACAACGAAAATAACGCCTTGGCAAATTTGTGATAGCTTGCAGAGGCATCGCCTACAACAGGGAGCCATGGTAGCCAAAAATAGACGGCGACGACCCACCCATTGCGGACTGGACGAGTGCCAACAGGCGTCGCAAGACGCAGACAAAGGAGCGATAGGTAGCTGAGAAATATGAAAAGTCGTGCTTACCTCCTTCTCAATGATAATCAAAATCGTTCGAATTATTTTCAGCTTACACGATTCGAGCTTTCGTCCTCAACCGACTGCCACCAGCACGAGTCGCACCCCGTCGCCCAGCATCGTCGTCGCCTTGGCAACAATGACAAAGTCGGCCAATAGATGGCAGGGCAGGATCGCTACGGTTTATCTCATAAACGTGCTTTAGACGGTGTACGGAAGACTGAAAATGAAGCCCTGATAGATGTTCAAAGTATGGCATGTTTTAACCTAAATTAACTGAGTGAAGTGTTTTCAAAATATTTCAAATGTTTTGAAATTTCTACTGCCTTTTTGTCAAAAAAGTTTATAACCTAAATGTTCGTGGGGACAACACTATTCGACCGCCAACATTGCAGCTATTTTATAACTCAGGAACCACTGAACCGATCGGGACGAATTTAGCACCATTGAAATTGAAATAGCTTACTGCTGAGTAGCCGTGCGCAGGCATTGGCTTTGGCAACCTGCCAAAACCATGCCCTTATGAGATCGGGATCTCGTCTGTGGCTTGGAGCGGTATACCCAGGGGTGTAACTTTTGCTTTTGAGATGGGGGTGCACTTGGTGATGGGGGCGACCTTCAATGAGGATAGGGGCGCTTCCAAGGTGCATAGATGGTGCATACATTATACATTAGCGTCGCCACGGGGGGACAAGCGGGGCAGCTTGCCCCCCCCCCCCCCCCCACCCCCGACCGGGCTTCCCCTGAGATCAATGCAGATCCGATGAGATTTTGGGGTCGGCAAAAAAAATGGGGGTAGTTTTCATGAATGGCTGTAAAGTCAAAATCGGTTGGAGTCGCGAGTCCCAACCAGAGTCGGAGTGAGAGTCGCCAACATTTTCAGGACTTTGACTCCAGGCTCGAACGTATCATAACTTTGATTCAATCCATGTCTTGGCTGGTGTTAGCTGAATTTTACACTCGGTTTTCAACACTGTTGTGGAGCTGGGACTTGGGAGCGACCCCCTTACCTCCTCTCGGGAGCAGCGCTCCGTCCACGCGCAGAGACCGGGTCCGTCTAGTACCTACGCTGACACGAAATTTTAGTGTCAAGACCATTAGCGTCGCCACGGGGGGGGGGGGCAAGCGGGGCAGCTTGCCCCCCCCTCCCCAACCTTCAACCGGGCACCCCCTGAGATCGATGCAGATCCGATGAGATTTTGGGGTCGGCAAGAAGTGGGGGTAGTTTTGAAGAATGGCTGTGAAGTCAAAATCAGTTGGAGTCTTGAGTCCCAGCCAGAGTCGGAGTGAGAGTCGCCAAAACATTCAGGACTTCGACTCCAGATTCGAACATATCAAAACTTCGATTCAATCCATGTCTTAGCTGGTGTTAGCTGAATTTTACACTCGGGTTTCACCAGTCTAGCACGCTGACACGAAATTTTAGTGTCAAGACCTAGCTCGAAAAATTCGGGGTTGGGTTGGGGTCGTTTCCGACTCTGGCCAAAGGTCTGTGACATGTTCAAGTGCCGTTAAAGTACCACAGGGCTAACGAGGGCCGTGCGTAGGCTCCTAAAAAGTCCCACTGAACTCTAAGAAGGGATCCCACGCTAGCTTCCGAGGGACCCAAACTGACCTCTGAGGGCCCTCAGGCCGGCACTTATGAACACCACTACGATCTTCCACCGCTGATTCTGAAGGCTCGGGCGCAAATCTTTGAGAGCCACTTTGGCAGTCCTTTTAAGGGCCTCCGCCGGTCTCAACAGCCCCATATTGGCTTCTGAGGGTCCATCGGTGTGCAAGGGGCGGACCCATGGTAGTCTCTGAGGGCCCTTTCGACTTTGATGACCATCCTTACGACAGGCCTATGAAGACCTACACGGGCCTTATCATAGAGGGGCCACGTGTGCCTCTGAGCAGGGCTGCGAGGTCGGGGTCGGAGTCGGTCGGAGTCGACAGCTCTGACCGGAGTCGAAGTCGGTTTTGGAAGCCGGGGTCGGATTCGAGTCGAAGGCACCGATAAATCCATCACGGAAACTGAGCATGCTAGAATATGGATTTTTAGAAGGGCGAACCGATTCCCTGGATCATTTGCAACTCTTTTTTTCTGGATAAGGTTTGGGATCATCTGCACGGACCCGTCCGAGGGAAAGAGGGGGAGGGGCCCCACAGACCCATTGTATCCTTCCCATTAATAGGCTCTACCCTGCTAAACTAACGTAACGGGTAATGCGTTTTTAACTGACGTAACTGATTTTGCCCAGGAAATCCTAAAAAATACTTTCTACATTTCATAGCTAGAGGAAAAACTGCATCACCATTGCATTCCTCGCGCGCCATGGCGCGTCGAGTGACATATAAAACGTGTAAGTAATGACTATAGAAAGGCATGATTAAAGACCAAATTGGATTTTGTCCCCCCCCAACCGAAAATCTCTGGCGACGCCTATGGATGCAGATGAGTCCAATGGTACAAAGTTGGGTATTATGAAATAAAATTGAATTCGTTTGCACGAATATCAATCAATCAATTGAATTTATAACGAATGGCATTTTACTTTTTTATTCCAACCTCTTATAGAATTGGGGTGCCCTTTTTATGCTCGTCGACTGGCGAGACCCACTTTTGCTGGAATCACCTTTTTCATTGGGCGCCCTTCTACTGCTGGGGTCGCCTCTCCCTCTCTCCTGCTGAGGTCACCCCTCATTCTGCTCGGCGAGACTTACTTCTGATTGGCGCTCCTCCTCTGCTGGGGTTTCACTTTTCTGCTGGAGTCTGACATTTCCCTTGCCGGGTATGCCCTATTTTTGCTAAAGGCGTCCCACCACCTCTGCTGGGGGCGCCCCCGGCCCCACTGCTGCTGGACGAGCCCAACTTTTGCTCCAGGTGCCCCTTTTGTATTAGGGCGCCTCTCTTTTTTAGGCATCCCTCTCCCGGTAGGGCGCCCCTTTCTGGTGTGGCGCCCCTTTCTGCTGGGAGCGCTCCTCTTCTTCTGGGGGCGCCCCACTACTGCTGGACGAGCCCAACTTTTGCTTGAGGTGCCCCATTTATATTGGAGTGCCTCTCTTCTTCTGGAAGCATCCCTCTTCTGGTGGGGCGCCCCCTTTCTGCTGGGGTGTCCTTCTTCTGCTAGGGCACCCCTCTTCTGGTGAGGCGCCCCTTTCTGCTGGAGTCGCCCGTGTTCTACTGAGGAAGCTCTTCTACTGGGCGAATCCATGCTTGAGGTGCCTCATTCCTACTGGGGGCGCCTCTCCTCCGCTGGGGCGCCAGTCTTATGCTTGACGATCCCAACCTACGTTGGAGGTGCCCTACTTCTGCCTCGGGCGCTCCACTTTTGCTGAGAAAGTCCCGCTTTTGCCGGGGTGCCCCTTTCACCCATTTTTGGGGGACGATACGACTGGACGCTTCCCAAGCCCGCAAGCATCACGACGCCGGTCACGAGACGGAATGTAGCCGGGAAATCACCCTCGCCATCTGCTCAAGAGCTTATCGGTGTCGGGCGGCGTGTGGTGCGCCGCTTAGCCTATGGGGGTGCACTTTGACGTGATGGGGGTGCACTTTCAGGGGATGGGGGTGCACCTGCACCCCCATACATATAGAAAGTTACACCGCTGGGTATACCTATACAATCACGCGGCCGTCCGCTGGATCGGGTCGCCGGAATAAATAGTTTGGAACGGATCGCGCCTCTGGCTGGCGGCTACTGCACGAATCAAGATAGATAGCTTTATCTGCCGTTTGTATATGGTGACTTCAGGTGACCTTGGTGACCTTGAAAGGTAAATTTGTAATTGACTATTTCGCCTGTTGCAGCCCATCTATAACTCAGGAACTATGGGGCGATCGAGACGAAAACGGCACCAGTTGATCCGTCGTATACGAATTCATCAGCCGTTTCAAATATGGTGAGTTAAAGTGACCTTGGTGACCTTGGGAGGTCACCTGAGCGTTTTCACCTATTGCATCCATTTTATAACTCAGGGGCTACTGGGCCGATCAGGACGAAAATGCCACCTGTCGACAGAGAAGAATGATGGGTGGGGGAGGGGTGATGGAAAGGGAGAGGGAGAGGGAGAGGAGAAAATCATGCTTACCCGGGGTGTATCGTATCGTCATCTACAACTTCCATCCGTTTAACTTTCGATTAGAATTGTCGCGTCAACGGTGAGCCGAGCGCGAGCGAGGTCGGGTGGTACGGGTCTGTGGCGCTATTCGCAACAAGCACTGCTTAGCGGGGCACCCGGGCCCACAGACACCCCTTCTCCATCCGGACTTGATTTCTTAAAAAAAAAAAAAAACGTTGATAAATCGGACGTGCTCGGTGTTGTCACATAAAACTGTAATCGCATTCTGACATCTGACCCCATCGGTCCGAATATAACCTAATAAGTGGACGCTGTGCGCGCAAGTCGCCTCTCCAATGGTATCGATATTTCATCCCGTGGCCAAGCAAAGGTTGATGGTTGATGCTATGATGACCTTTTTGGTAAATGAGGACTGGATTTCTGCCGAATTAGACACATTAGCCAGCCAATGGTCTCCTGAAAAGGTTAATGCGATGGAATCGCGATGATTCTGACAGATATTTTAGAAATGCTCGTTGATCCCTCTCCAACACAAGAAGCGAATAGTAGTTTCGGTATTTTTTATACTTTGAAAGTGACCGGTGTCAACTAGCATGTTTATCATCAATCTATTTTCAATTCATGAGCTTCTACTCACTATCCCCGCTGAATGCTAAATTCAACCAGATTAGCCAGGTAGAAGGCCCATGCATGTTGCCTTAAAACACACAACACAGCCTTTGAAGTTGTATCAACAAAGCTTACATCACAGACATAGCTTGGTGATACCGTTATCAAAGGCCATCTCCCTGCACCCTGCCCCATTATCGAGCTTCTCGCAATGTCAGTTACCTACCCCTCAATTTTTATGTGATATGTAAAATGAAGTGGATGAGAACTTGTCCTGTGTAGCGCGTCTTCCTTATCAAGATTCAGTAGCCATTGTCAGCAGCTCGCGTTCATTTGGTTGACAAAGTACCGAGATGATGTTCCCCAAAGCGGTGACGACGCCTCCGTCGGCGTACTGGGGCCTACGAACGGCCACTAATAAGGTCTGCATGGGGCGGCGGCCGGCGCGGCGGCCGGCGGCGACGCCGGTTCATATCGATTTGGGCCCCAGAGCGGGGCTTCAGAGCGGGAACGCCACCTGCTGCCGACCGACCGACGGTCCGACCGACCGACGGAGCCACCGCCGTCTCACTGGGCGCCGCCGCTCGTCGCCGCGCGCTCTCGTGTGCGCCACCTTCGTCTCCATCGGCGGCGTGCGTCGCGTCGGCTTCCTGGTGATCGTCGGCTCAGTCGCGCTCGGCTGACTCAGTCGTCGCCTCGGCAGCTGGGAGAGCGTCGTGTATAGGGAGTGGCCCAAGAGTGGGCCGAGTCGCCCGTCCAGCCGAGCCGGATTTTGAAGAACGAGAGAGGTCTGTGCGGTCTGGCGGGTATAGGACGTACAAGCTGCGGCCTTCGGCATGGATAAGGACACGCTGACGAAGCAGATTGAGAACATGAAGCACCAGGCCTCGATGGAGCGATGGCCACTGAGCAAAAGTATTGCCGCGTAAGTTACATTGTCAAAAGTGGGATAGGTGTGCTTGTGTCATTTGGGCATTTCTCTCTATAAGTCTCATTGTCCATTGCATAGGTATGTAGGTATTGTGTTATATGGCTGTTTTTTCCCGTTCTTTGACTTTCTTTGAATTTTTCTCGTTACTTGATTTGATGCTGAAAGCGGGATTGTCGTATTTGTGTGTTGTCATGTCTCTCATGTGAGACTCATTGTCCAATGTCCATTGTACAATGTATGGTGTGATTTGACTGTTTCCTCCTGCTTTTAGATGTCCTGGATTGCCTGGAAGCTTTTAATTAATATGACTGACATTCACTGACAGCAAAATGTTCATAAGTTATTAATAAACGGTAGTTGTCCTGTTATAAGGACATCATCTTGTGTGCCAATATACATAGGATATCAAATATTGCTATCGACACTGCGACCCGATTTGCCCTTTCAACGACGCATAGCATGTTACATTACCCGCTCCTTTTCCGCATGAACTGTACGACTGTTTGATGTGCGAACTGCGAGCCCAGCAGGCTTCCTGGACTCTGGTGATGAGGCGTGAAGAGAGGACTAACATGATCTGACGCTACCGAGCCAGCGACACATTTCGCTGTTTGATCTTACACGCACGATTACGGTAGCTGACTTACCTACCTGTTTTGCTTGACATTAAACGTGTTCGGGTGATGTTGATATGTTATTTAACGTCACTTTGATGTTAGCCGGCGTGACTGCAGGGAGTGTTCGTTGGCATCTAATCTGGTCGTTGACGATATACTTTTGATGTTGTGGCCAATAATTACCTACTTGCTGCACTGCAGCCCCACTTTCACAATGTACTGTATTACCTCTCCGGAGTAAGGTAATTAGTCGACAATAGGCGGAGCTGTAGGAGTATATTATGGGAGCCAAAGGCTGCGAGTCAATTAGGAGCGTAGGTGTCGCAATGAGGGCACAAAAGAAACTGCAGATGTCGAAGGCGTTAGTCGATAGGGGCTAGCATGGAAGGTATTGTTCCTTGCTGCTTTTGTTTTTGGGTAACTTAATTACGCCTGCTCATTACATCCTTGGTCAGTAAGTTACTATCCTTGGATACGCAATACGCATGCCGTAAACACAATTACCTTTAACACCTGCGGACTGCACCGTATGGCGTCATTCGGGCTATACCGTAAGACCACGTCCCGGGCCAGTGTGATCGATATGGATTCCTGTGAATAATGCTGTGAGATGTCGAACAAAGGGCAAAACTGTTTAGCGGTCGTTTCGTCGAATGGCTATTGATTATGTCCGAGTATGGCTGGACGCTGATCCGACAATTACAAACCGAAGTGGCATCGAGTTATTGAAGAAGGTAGTTAATTGGTTTTGGGCGGCATACTGCATTGTTTCTCACTGCAGGTCCGTCATACATCGCTCTTATATTGCAGAAAGGAAAAATAACATGTGACTATCTTCGAACTGAGAGATGTTGTGGGCACTTCTAAGCGGTTATATGGAAAATGTTTCGTCGTCAAGAGACTGAATGAATTCGTAACATCGCTTCCGTTATCTTTATTACCATGTTTGTTGTTTTATGATGAGCTCCCTACCCCTCTCTATCTCTCTCACTCTCATCTCCAAGTGAGTTTACAAATGCCCTCTCCGTTTTCAGACTGAAGGAGTTTATTGAAGAAAATGAGAAGACCGACCCACTTATCTACGCAGTCGATAAGAAGAACAACCCGTGGGCAGAAAAAGGAAAATGTCTCGTCATGTAGCCCCGAAGGCACTGGCTGCTGTGTGATTACGTGACCAGTTGACCATCGCTACTCAATAACAGGAAATAACCAAAGATCCCTGATCATCGCTCGGAGCTAGGGGCCTGTCAGGGGCAACGATGCCGTGCATCCGATCTCAGCTTTGGAACCGGGACTGAGCTGGTGAACAGGGGTGCTTGAAGATGAGCTTGAATCAGGGTATTTGACTTTGTTGACGGCGATTGATTGAGGGCATCTATCGGGAGACAGCTGGGAGTTGTCAGTGGTTTTAACTTGATTAAACTGCAAGTGATGATCCACTTGTGAATGTTTGATTTCATGAAACATGTAGGCACTTTATCATTGATGGTCGTTGAGGATGATAGGAGGTGTTTAGTTAAAATGTGTTTTTCCCATGTTGCCAGTAGGCGTGCGCCGACAAAGGTGGCTTCATATTTTTGGAGCTCGGTACCTTGCTTTCAAATTTGTTAGCACATTATATATCGGCTACTGAGTAGGCAAACCTACTAAAACATCAGTCATCACACACATACTACTGTGAGATTTAACACCGTCCATATTAAGTTCACAGATATGTCCTTATTGTTTGTAGTTATTTTCGTGCGTTATTTTGTCATGCTTTTGTGTGCAATACCTACCTCACATGCGACTCTATAAACACATGTTATCTGTCCCGTATGTGCATATTCACTCAAAATCTGTTTTGCGTTAGCGAGGTGTGTACATTGTCCAAAAAATGGCTTGACCTCAATTTCGAATACATTATAACATTTGTGTAATGTGTGTGTATGCTTTTTTACGTGCGCTATTAGCGCTCAAATGTACGGTAAATCCAAAAATGATTTTTTAGTATCACGGACGAAAATTTTGCCTGTCCTTTGCGACGCATTGCATAACTGTTTTTAATACACATCATGTCACAGCATGAGATATAGAGCTGTGAGGTAACGTATGCCTTTTCCCGGGCACACATGTCGTTTGTTACAAATGGAATCTTGTCACTCTTATGTTGGATAGAATCCGGGCATCTGTAAAGGATTTCTGCAGCAGAATAACCACGAGTGCTCCTTTCCCCGAAACCTTGATGAAATAATGTGTGAACTTTGCAATGTGAAATGGCTTTTCGTCTGGACCATATATTGGCGCCCAGCAACAGACTTGTTTAAAGTTTCAATAACAAACGGATCAAGCAAAAGTTCAGCGCATTTTCAGAAATAGACAATGTCGCCATTTCTTTGTGAATGCAGATTGCACACCGGTTGCAAACTGCTTCATTTGCTTAGGTATGCATGTGGTGCAAAGATGCCCAATATCATCTTGACCACACTCGCGAGGTCATTTCATTTAAAAAAAATGTATCGATAACTTTCTAAATAATTTACGGAAGCTTGACGAAGCTGTCTACCTGAAACTATAAAACTTCGTTACACCCAGCTCTTACACCCAAGCCTTCTCTGTTCGCCTTTCTCAACACAGATCAATGGCACCGACTGATCCTTTGTTGATGCAGTGAACTCCCCGGGATCAGCCCCGGTGAAGGGATACAGAGTGTCCGGGAGATATTGGCGACGGTGCGGTCCAGTTCGATCCTCCGGTGAGGCCGCGAGACGTGCGTGTTTTGGTGTGGAAGCGACTCGCAATCGTTATAGTGAATTGGCTGGGTGCTGTTTGAAGCCGCTTGACCGTAGCACGGATGGTCAAGCTGCTACTTGGTTGACGCCAGTGATTGCCACATTCCAGCAGAATATTGTCATTCACAGAACATTCTTCAGACAAACCGTGCCACCTCGATAGTCGTTTGATTATGTCTTCTGACACATTCCTATCCACATACCAAAGGCCAATAAACGGGGTGATTCTACCGATCTGCTCAAAGAGACGTTTCAATCAGTGTGTAGCTTCATAGTTATAAACCTAATATCCAGTACGGTTACAACTTACAATGTTCCTCCATCCGGCAAGTATTCTCTGTATGTAATGTGCGCCCACTCCAGTGCACTCACGGATGCTTACCTCCGCCAATAAAACTCTATGGCCACTCCGATTATCCTTGGAGGCCATTTCTTTCCATTCCCGCTGCTCTGGCAGACGGTTACTCTTAGCGACGGGTGGTGCGCTCAGGTCAAAGGTTGCCTCGCCTCGGGGGGGATTATGGTGACCGAAGCCCCACCAAAGCCCGACGGAGCACCTGTGGGGGCTCTGACGGCGACAGACTATGGATGGGGGACGAGGGAGGAGGAGGGGGGAGACGAGAGAGAGAGAGAGAGAGAGAGAGAGAGAGAGAGAGAGAGAGAGAGAGAGACGAGAGAGAGAGAGACGAGAGAGAGAGAGAGAGAGAGAGAGAGAGAGAGAGACGAGAGAGAGAGAGAGACGAGAGAGAGAGAGAGAGAGAGAGAGAGAGAGAGAGAGAGAGGGGGAGGGAGGGAGAGAAGGAGGGGTGACAAATAAATGGTGATTGCCATTTTATAGGTGGAGACGGCTTACCTAAAATTATAAATAGACTGTTAGTACTGGTGAACTGTTTCAGATTTCTATTACACATTTTCAATTAGAATGAAGAAGTAATTCTGTCTAATTCTTTTGGCCTTTTTGTAAATATACTTTACCATGAGGCTTAGGTTTTAATCACATTTATATTTTTCATTCTTTCTAAGGGCAAATAAGTTCATCCTCAAGCTTATGACAGAAACTCCTTTATTTCAACCTAGCCTGCTGCCACAGTTTGACCGTGCAACATATCCTGCATGATTAAAAAGAACGGATAGAAAAGGAGGCAGTCACAGTCAGTACGGCAAAACAAAACTGCAAACCTGAGCAGCCAGTCCCTTGAAATCGCGATCGATTCCCCGCGCGACGAAGGTGGATGGGGTCTGTCCATCGACGCGACGTTTTATGCCTTTATCTGAACGCCTCGTTTACTCCTTTACGGAGCCCATCAAACGGATGTCTGGCTGGGTGATCGCTCCACCCAAAAACTGTGCGCCCGGAAACTACCAAATGGGCCGCTGTCAGTACAATGTCACAAAAAGCGGGGACACACGATTAACTCCTACTGATAGCAAAAATTTTGTTGTCGTTTAGCTTACGGAGACACTTTGAGCGCGGTTTGCCAACATTGGCAAGTTTGACCAAGCAGGCCATTAAATCCAAGATAAGTTCCAATAAATAGACAAAACCCTACGTAGGCAAGGCAAGGCAAGGCAACTCTACGTACGTTCGTACGTCTTGATGAAATGCGGTCGAATCACTGTAACGGCGCAGGTAAACATTGCCCGGTGACCTGCTAAAGACCATGGGGCCACAGATAACAGTAGTACTACTACTGTTACTGTTACTACTGTTACTGTAGTGTTACTGTTATCTGTGCCAGGGCTAATGCAGAAACGTTTAAATAAAAAGTAATGTGCAGAAATTGTGCCTATATCGATGGCGCGATGAGTTACATATTGTGACTAAGATGGGATTTTTTGACGCTGTGTAGATATTTAGGATTGTCCTGCAGTCATGCCTACTTCTTGACCGATGGCGATGGCCATTGCTTGAAGACTTATTGGAGCGAATGTTTGCGATTCATTGCAGCAGATCACTTATCCAACAGAGAAAAATACACAGAGGGTTCACGATATATTTCATGAACCACAGCCGTTGGGTACAGTTTTGGGTAAAAGCCATGTAGTGAAGATGACCCGAAGGCAGAACATGGTCGGCTGCGCTCCGGTTTCGTGAACGGCTCCCGTAGTTAATGACAGGCCTGGTTAACCTGATGACTGATGATGCATTCAGCCTCTTCCAATGGCTTGAACCTAGAAATAGAGACAGCATGTCAGGGCCTTTTCCGGTGTTCAGTGTAGATTCGCTGGCAGGCTACAGGCTAGTTCGGGCTCAGGCCGCTCAGGCGTTGCAGGCTAAGCTACTGTAACTGTAGGTGTCGCTGAAAACGCAATATACTCGTAGATGGCAGCATCTGATCGTCCTACTGGCCATCACTGCTCGTTACGCGAGGCACAAGATAGCTATTGAAGTGGAAGCTTATAATTCTGTCACACTTGGAGACAACAGCAATTACAGAATTATGTTATACGCACCATGAAACAGGCTCCTCAGTTCTCAGTGTCACTTGCATTGAGGCAAGTTATTCACTGAGCCCCGTATGGCAGGCCTCTGTGGCCTCAGGAGAGGTGAATATGTGCAGATGTCACCATCCTTCAGGCAGCTAGCTCTGTGGCCTGCCGGAGAAGACGACGGCCTTTTCCATCGACCCCCACAGCTGTGGAAAGATCAGTTCAGGTCATGTTAGGTCAGGTCAGGTCAGGTCACAGAGGTTGAAAGAGAACATCTCGCTATTCGGAGCACAGGATGGCAGACAGAGCAACCGGATGGTCATCTTATGATCTCGATATGGCCACTGAAGCATGTAGCATCTATGACAAGTTACACTGACCTGAATGGTGACTTTGCGTTTGGGTGACAGTGACAGGCGCAGGCTGCGCAGGTCCTCGAGGAGAGCCCAGTCGCACATGGCGCAGCAGCCGGCCACGTTCAGCCTCTCCAGAGCGGGTAGGGCGGTGATCAGCCTGTCGAGACGGTCAAGGTCAGGTCAGACTGTTCTACGTCAGATCAGACTCTCCGAATGCCGAATGAGGTCAGACTAGTCCGTTTTAGGACAGGAGGTAAGGTCAGACTGATCTGGCCCTGGGTTAAGTCCAATTGGCACGAGTCAGGTCAGACCGACCCTGTTGCGTCAGTCTGATCAAATATCATGTCAATTTGTTCACACCAGGTCAGGGCAAGTCACGTAAGGTCACCTTGTGACCAGGAACGACCGAGATGCCCGAAGATAGTTACTATGTACTATTGCTCTCCTTGTTCCACTACTCCCCGCCTCTCCTACCCACTCCTTCGACTCACCACTCCACAGCAGCAGCATTGAAGCTCATCTGAAGCGGACCGCGGCGGCGCGGGGTCTCCCCTAGACTGAGCTCTCTTAGGGAGGTGATGCGCTGTAGACTTTCGACAAGTTCGGTAGCGTCTCGTACCACAGCCGACCATTGGACGTTTATCAGGCGTACGTCTGTCAGCTTGAGGTGACGGAGGTTCTTGAGACGGTGGAGGGAGGCGACTGACCATGGTGTGACGTTACAACCTGCAGAGAGAGAGAAAGAGAGAGAGAGAGAGAGAGAGAGAGAGAGAGAGAGAGAGAGAGAGAGAGAGAGAGAGAGAGAGAGAGAGAGAGAGAGAGAAAGGGGGAGAGGGGGAGAGAGAGAGAGAGAGAGAGAGAGAGAGAGAGAGAGAGAGAGAGAGAGAGAGAGGGAGAGGGGGATAGAGAGGAGTGATTTTGGCGTACACTACTGAGCGGGTGCTAAGCGTTGAAGTCACTACAAAACACCACAGTACCTATTGATCGAGATAGAGGTCAGAAACCACAATAATGGTGTTGAGGTAAGGAATCACATCTGATCGCTCGCCGCTGAGGTCGAGCTTCATGTCAGATCAGTTTATTAGCTACTGAGGTCAATTAAGGTCAGATGAGATCAGGGCGTCGTTTCATAAAGCAAGTCCGTAACTTACGCCGGTTTTTGGGCTTGTATTGCAAACACATGTGAAGGCTGAAGCGATAAATTTATTCCCCCTTCTCCCTTCTGTTCTTGCTTGCAAAACAAATAAATTCAACGATTCAAACTACCGTCCTCGCTTCACAGGCAATTGCAATACAAGACCAAAAACCCGGCGTAAGTTACGGACTCGCTTTATGAAACGAGGTCCAGGTCACCCCACTCACCACTGAGGTCGAGGTAGGTCAGGCCGGGCACCAGGTCTGGCAGCTCCCGCACCAGCTCGGCAGGCACACTGCTCTCGGCCAGATCCAGCCTCTCCAGTCTCGGCCAGCGGGACAGGGCTAGCTCGACCGCCACCCAGTCTATGTACATCTCTCCGGAGAGGTTCAACCTCCGCAGGTCCGGCAGGCTCGTCTCCGCCAGTGCGGAGGCCCCCTCCACATGACACTCCACCATGCTCAGTGTGGTTAAAGAGGGAGGCAGAGCGGCCAGCCAGCTCCCGTCGAGGACCGCGGTCCGCACCAATCTCAGAGCACGCAAACCGCGGAGATGACAGGCGGCCACCTCAGCCAAGTGTTCCTCCCCGTCTGGGGGTAGGGTCAGATCGGAGAGACGCGGGCAGCGGGTGCAGAGACGCACCATGGACGCCTTGGAGACACGGAACGACGTCAGGTCGATCGTCTCCAGAAGACGGCAGTGGAACCCTGCGGAAGCACAGGGTGTAGATAGTGGTAGCCAATTGGAGGAAGGGTCGGCAGGTAGGAAAGTCGGGATGATGTGCTGAACCCGTGACAGTGTACGAGGGACATCAGGAAAGACTGGTAGGGGGAGAACTGATGGTGCTTGTTTCCGATCAGATGCCGCTGATAATACGCGCGACTGAACTGACAGCATATGGCATGTTTTAAACGTTACTCTTACTCTATAAATTATTTATTGTTCTCTATTAAGCTGGGAACATCCTTGGGACAACTAAGTTTCCATATATTTGCATTTGAAAAAGCCAGCCTGCACTTTTCAAGCAGCACTGCGCTGCTGCCGGCTATTTTGCTGCAAATGGGTTCGGGACTTTTGGGCGAACTTTCGTTAGTTGAGCTCAACTCAGAACAGGATCTTTGGCGTTACAAGTCTATATCAAAAGTCCGAAACTGTTAACTGATATTGTATGTTCCAGAGAGTATAGGCATGTGTTTTCTGGAGTCAAAGGCTGGAGTCGGTCGCAAATATACGTATCGTTTGATTATTTACGCCCAACAGGTAAGTTCATTTTAACCTCTACCGCTCGGAGGCCGTTACTGAAAATCGGAGGGCGGCTTAACTGATAAATAAGAATGAGAAAGAGGATCACAATTCACAATACACAAATAAAAACATTTCTATGGAAATATTAGTACGAGACAGATTGCACATATATTGATAATTAAAAAAAAAAACAGACGACACAGCCACACAGTTTGCAGAGTCTCACCGACGATGTCGACCTTCAGTGACCTGAGCCGAGGCCCGGTGACGCGCAGAACTCTCAGCTGGGTCAGCCGGGGCACCATACGGCACAGGGAGCGCTGGGTCACGTAGCTGCCCCTCTTCAGCGTCAGCTGTCGCATGGTGACCGTGTACTGACGGCGCAGCAGGTAGTTGACCGTCTCGCGCCAGCGGGAACATACTGCAGGGGCAGACGGGATGGGTGTGGGGCTATAGATCGACATAGACTGGGACAGGGATACGCTCTACGGGTCGCAGACGCATTGCGATATACTTCTACTACCCTGAGGAAAGCTACCTGCAATTTACATAAAGCATAAAGTCGACAACAGAGATGGTACACTTAACAAGACGATAGAAATTACATAAAAAACGCCTGCAGTCTGGGACATATATATCCCACTTTTGGCTTGGCGGTTTCTGGCTAAACGAAATCAACAATAATAACCCGCGCCCCGTTGGGCTCTGCCGAGCAACGCGCCCGGTTGGGGGGGGCCATTTTGGCCCCCCTAAGATCTCGAGAACCACGCAACATAGCGACAAGCGGTAAACGGCGTTGGATAGCCCCAACGGGGAACTACCTTGTGACCCAATTTTATTGACCTAGGTCAAACCGATGACGTCACAGGTCAGGTCAAAGGTCCAAATTTCACCGTTTACAGGCACTTCAAGAAATGCGTTGTAAAATCGAGTAAAATGCATTTCATTGAAAATCATCAATGGGGAAATGTTCTTCAAACACATATTTTGCTATTTGAGGTCACTGATACCAGGTCAGGTCACAGAGGTCAGGTCACGGGGGGATCACAATATGAAAGTGTCGTGTGATACATGTTTTATGGTCCATTTTACATGACAAATGCGATCATATGGGTCAGGCAGCCTTTGGGGCCAGCTTAGATCACGTTTTGGTCAAGGTCAGGTCAAGGTCAGGTCAAAGTCAGGTCAAATTAGGTCAAATTTCAAAGTTAATATTTTTGCATAAAATGGGTATCGAATCGATGCAGCTCGTCACGGGGAGTTCAATGGTGGTCCTTGTTTTGCCGTACGTGGTCTAGAATTGCTAAAAATTGAGTTCAAAAATTTGACGTCATCATTTTTGAACAGTTTTTTCGCTATAACTTGGCCAAAAAACGAGATATCGATCTGAAATTTGGTATGTATATAGAAGAGCGCTGGGACTATCACATATATTCCGGTTTTTTTCGAAATTCGGAAATTTTTTGGATTTTTTTAAAGTTTTTCTAAAAAAAATCCATTTTTTGAATTTTTTTTGGTCAAAAACCAAAAATTTTGAAAATCCGAGATAGCAGTTTTTTAGCGCCGCTTTTTGTCTACTAGACTATATAAAGAACTTTGAAATTGATTGATAACTGTAGATTTGGTGAGCGTTTCAAGATTGCATGTTTTTTGCTCATTTTTGCTCGAACATGACCTCAGTTTGACCTCAATAACTCCTGACCTAAGGTGACCTAAGACTTGAAATTTGGTGTGAAGGTGTCAAATTGATGCCCGGGAAGGTACTGAAAATTTGGCGGCGCTGCGCGCCGCTGTTTTTTTGCTATTCAGGAAAAACCACAGGGGGGGGCCAAAATGGCCCCCCCAACGGGGCGAGGGATAATACTCTTCTCCGGAGGCACTTACCCTTCCCTTACGGCAATAGCATTCCCTTCCCTAGCGGCAATAATCTCTCCTTTACGGCAAGAATTTACCTCTTACGATAATAACCCCTATCCCCCTTGCGATGATAATATCCCCCTCGCCAGGCTCGTATCTCTCCTACCTGGGGCGATGGGCAGCAGGTCGCGCAGCTCCAGGAAGCTGAAAATGTAGCAGAGCAGCTCCTGAGGTAGTCGTCTGGTGACATCTGAACCGGTGGGGTCGGCGGCTGGTGACAGGAACTGCCACAGAGAGCGCTCCTCGGGCTCCGGGTCACGGGTCCACTGGAGACGCACGAGAGAGATGACATCACGGGACGGGGATGACGTTTTACGTTAGTTTTACGACGTACGAGGGAGGTTACGTCATCTCATCCGACGAACATAATGCTACGCCACACACCCGTGCATATGCGGCACACCAGATAATGGCGTTCTGACGCTTTAGACCGCGTAGGAAATTGATTTTATGCCGTTTTCTGACGCAGCTGTGCATACTCGCATGACTGGGATATTCACGTGTAACTGGCTATAACCACCTACTTTCTCATTCTGGATTAGGAGTAAATAACCCCATTGGCTTAAGTCTTATTACCTGCAAGTACCTATAAAGCGTATTCGGGAGTGATGTTCCCGGTTGTTTCTCATCCACCCGAGCCACTACTAACCCGTTTATCTCCAAGCAGGAAGACGGGAGTATGAGTCTGATCCACATGGCGAATCAAGCCGCCTTTACCGCCGCACAAATACTGAAACACAAAATACCGATGACTGAATAAGAAAAATGATATAGTGAAATGCGACAAGCACGTGAAATGCGACAAGCACGCGATTGAGATCAAGACGGTGTATAGACGAATTCGTACCAATAAAATATTTACTGGGGCTCGGCGTTATTCTCCAGAGCGATTTAAAGCTTTTCCATGTTTTAATTATTCCTTTTATCTTCTCACTGCGCGACGGCTTACGGTATTTTACAATTTTTACTCACGGTCTCATCATCTTGCATTATTTGACTTACTCTGCCTAATTAACTATTATGCAAAAATACTGTTCACTGCTCAGTTAAAGTATATCTAGATCATTAAACGAACTTTTGTTTCCAATAGGTACCAAGAACTTCGTGAATTATGACACCTACCATGTACCCTGTAATTATGCCCTTATCATCCGGGATGAAAGCCTTAGCCCTTACGAACTGGTGAAATTAGGCCGTACACGTCCTCAGTCAATACTCACCCCGACTCCGCTCTGCGAGGGCCGCTCGAACAGCGGCGTATTTCGGATCTCGGGAGTTCGCATTGTCGGCTGGGCCACCTCAGCGTACCACCTGGCCCAGTCGATACTCTCATCAGCCCACTCAAATAACGGAGGCATTGTTTGGACTCGCGGATGACTATCACTTCAACTATCACACTGCTCCCAAAACGGCTAAAACGGTAACAACCTCTGCTCGCCCACTTCGATAAAATGCTAAAACTCGGCACCGTCACGCTTTAAAAGAGATAAAACCGTCAACAGACCCTCATGACGAGCCCCGTCCCTCCCTCCCTGCGCTGCGCTTCACTCCGCTGCCGCCCGACCGCGCCCGCCGCAGCACCAAAAGTGATCCGCCCCCGGGCGGAGGCGCCGACCTGACCTGGGTCGCCAGAGGCGCGTCCAGCGACCGAGAAAAGGGAGGCCAAGCGCCAGTCGTCTCCATTGATTCGTATTTCAGAGGAATCGATTGTGACGAATCGACATGAATCGGCTACGCTGGCCATACGTAGACATTTATAGAATGTCTCCACAGGGCTTAGCACCTCATGGACTTGTATACTATAGAGAGCTCGTAAGAGCACGCAGAGGTGTAATGAATGACGAATTGTGATAATCGTATTTATTGTTTATAACAAAGAGCTGTTTGCAACGCGACAAAACTCGTCGCCTTGCACAGTTTTGTGAATTCTACACACATCCACATAGGCAGGTTGGTATTGGTATAGTTGGCAGCGCTGGATGACAACCGAACAGCGGCCAGGTATGCAACAACGTCGAGTATTTTGTCCCCTGCACGACGCGCAGCGGTGGCATTTAAGCTCCCGTGCAAACCGTGCTCTCTTGCTTCTCGGGTTACATGGTGGTGACAGTCCAGCCCAGAACGGCTCAAATCAGCCTCGGAGAGAGAGAGAGAGAGAGAGAGAGAGAGAGAGAGAGAGAGAGAGAGAGAGAGAGAGAGAGAGAGAGAGAGAGAGAGAGAGAGAGAGAGAGAGAGAGAGAGAGAGAGAGAGAGAGAGAGAGAGAGAGAGAGAGAGAGAGAGAGAGAGAGAGAGAGAGAGAGAGAGAGAGAGAGAGAGAGAGAGATGCAAGTGTCTGGGGATGGATGGGTAGACCCCAGGGAACAGCTCCATGTCTGGCGGCAAGGACGGCTCAGCTGCTCCATCTCCAACTGCTGAGTTCGTATCGCCGGCCCTCTGGAGTTTGGGGTCACCGGAGCGCGGTTCGAAGCAGTCTGTCTGCGTTAAGCGCTACTGTTCCTCGGGCGCGGGCTCGGTAGCGTCATCCGTCGGATATCTCCTTTGATACACTCCCAGGTACGCCATATCGCGCTCCAGCTTGCTCAGCCGCTGCTGGGTGCGGTTCTGGTCAGCCCTCAGGCCCATCAGCAGGGTCTCCAGCTCGGCGCGCAGTGCGGCCATGCTGCGCGCGTGCTGCTCGCCCAGCCGCATGGCCACCACGCGGATATCGGTCTCGGAGACACAGGAGACGTGACCGAGCGACCAGAGGCTGTCCGAGCCGCATGTCGAGGTAGTGTTCTGTTCGGACGGGTACAGGGCGTAGCCGGCTGCGCAGTTGTACTCGACCACAGAGCGCCAACCGGTGCCAGTCGTCGGGCCGGTCGTCGTATGGGGGATGGTGGGCAGTGACGAACAATTTGCGGCCACGCAGCTAAGACGGGTGGTGCCGCTCTGTAGGTCGGAACACCGGATAGGATCGGAACAGGACGGGCTGTAGCCCGGGTCACACGAGAGTTTGACAGTGCCCGTCTGTGTTGGCTCGTAACGTCCGTGCGCTGGATGACCGAGGAGCGCGCACTCGTCTCCTTCATCATCGTCGGACCTCTCCAGTACTACGACTTCTGCCACTGAGAGCGCCAGGAAGGCGCCTCTCTCGGCCGACACCCGCACCTCGAACTGTCCGACGGTCGACGCCTGCTCAGGGCAAACACAGACTTGCCCTCCAGATACCGGCGGGGTTATCTTGTCGCTGTTCAGATCTTGACACGGACAATCAACCTCATTGTTCAACGTCACGGTCTTGTTCAACGTCCGCAGCGCCACGGCAGAGCGAGTACCAAGCGCACGCACCAGCACCCTATCCACAGTGGCGTTAGCCTCCAGGTGGACAGTCAGCGCCTGGGGGCCGTCGCTGGGTGCCAGCATGCACCAAGTGTCCAGCGAGCCATCTACAGCGGCTTTGCAGTCTGTCATCGGCAAACCAGTGACGGTGATTGGCTGTCCTAGGGCGATATTGCGCCGGCAGACGGACGCGGCCCCGTCCCACCGGCCGGCGCGGCAAGTTCGCCGAAGCCCGCTCAGAGACTCGGCCAGACTGAAACCGCTCTCGCAGACGTAAGTGACTTGACTGCCGTTGAGGTACTCTCGCTTAACATCGATGGGTTTGGTATGTTCGCTTGCCAATGGCGGTCCACATGGCGGCGAACAGTTCAACTCGTCTTCGCCCGCGATGCAGTGTCTGATTCCATCACACACATTACTTCTGAGAATTATGAAACCTGAGCGGGAGCACAGGAACGTCGATGACTTGTGGTTCCATTGGGTCTCGCCTCTGTACGTCCAAGATCGGTACTGATTTCTATCTTCATACCAAAAATCGTAATCGTAATCGTCATCGACATCAGGCGGTGGAGTGTGTTCGACATGCTGCGTTTTCGGGTTTTTCAGTGTGACGGCGCCGCACGTCTCCTCTCCGCGGACACACCGTATCGTGCCCCGCTCAGTAGTGTTCAGACGACACTCTGTGCCCAGCTCTCTGGAGTCCTTCAGCCACCGACAGCCGCCGGCCTGGGACGGCCGGCAGTGGAGCTCGACCTTCTGCTCAGGCCAGGCGTGAACCGTGGGCGTCTCGGCAGAGGTGACCAGCAGAGGCGGAAGCCGGCCGTGCTCCTGCTCGTCACAGGCGCCAGCCCGCGCACCACCTGCGGCACGGGTCACGGGGCCACGATCCTTGCTGTGACATGGAGTCACGATCACTCATATGGCATTAGGTCACGATCGTTATATGTTATGGGTTATGGTCGTCAATGCGTCACGGGGACAGGCATCATTTGTGTCTCGACATCACAGACTCACGGTCACTGCCACGTCACGGGTCATGATCACTGATATGTCACTGGTCAATGTCACTGCCGCGTCACGATGTCGCGGTTACTACGTGCGTCTATGAGATCGGTAATTTGTAATCGGAATTTTGCGAGGCCTCAGATCAGACCATGCGTAATTATTGTGAAAAGCGATAATGTGAACACATATATATTGCACAAACCGGTTTCGATATCACTTCATCAGTGTGATAATTATTGATCGTAATTATTGTATCGGACCCATACCATATTACCCACTATTATACTTACCGAGCGTTGCGGCAATTATCAGGAGGGGAGAGAGTCCCATCTTCTGTTTGGCTCTCACAGTCCGCCTGAGTTCCAGACGCTCCCAACTTTCGATGGCTGATGAGCTATTCTCCTTCCTACCACCCTGGACGGCGCTGGGTGGCAGACTGCCTCCTCCACCGGGGGTGCTGTCCTTCAGAGGGCGCATGACGCGCGTGTTAGTATTGATACGACTGGAAGTTGTGGTCAGTGATACAGACCAGCCCCCTTACTATCAACACTATTGCAACGTGTACCGGCGAGAGTGGGCGACTACGCCCAGCTACTCAGACTCTTGGCTGTGAGGAACTGAGCTCTGCTTAGCTCGCTTGCACGGCCCTTCCCCTTGCTGTCTCGTCCCCAATTGAGCTAGAGTCTCGTAAAAAAAAACGAGCGTGTGCGCCACTACGAGACAAAGCAATTGGTTGCCTATTTTAAGGTCTTAAGTTAACCGGTGACCCCTGAGGTCAGGTCATTGCCTCAAGATTCGGAATCAGTTTTTGGTAAACAACTTCACCAAAAAGGGTCGAGAAACCGCGATTTTGAACCATCGTTTTCGCCATTCTCAGTCGCGTCGAATGTTATACTTTTGTTTGGGTGCGGTCAGCCTCAGGTGTTGACCTCGGGTCGAGTCGAGGTCAGGTCAGGCCACGAAGCTGGTCAAAAAAGATCATATCGCATACTTTTCGATTTTTCAGGTCTTCCGGGATCCTTCGGTGGCTTTCTTGACCCACCAGCTCAATCTGACCAAGACTTCTTGAAGAAAAATTGTTATGACCCGTCAAAAGTTATTAAAAATATAACTGTTAGGAAAACTGTTTTCTATTCGAAAACTATTATGATATAGCAAGAACAATGCAAAAATGAAACGTTGGACACTGCGGGTCATGAAATCTCAATAACACGGCTTCGGATTGTTTTAGCTTGTTCTCGGCTCCAAAATAACAGGGTTCATATTTCCGCGATTGACTTATTATAGTGAGGTCACGTGACCGACCTGACCACAGATGGCCCTTATGCAGGGACTCCGCTGCAGGTTAATAGTCGAAAGATAAGGCTTTAATTAAATACAAGTGCATGGTGAAATAACTAGGTAAGCGAAGACAATTTTTTTTTTGGGGGGAGGTATACGGTTCTTCCCAAAGGCGTCGCGAGCCATCCCCAAGTCAGTCTGTAAGAAGCTGAGAACTCAAGGGGAACTTTGTGACGCGTCTCAAGAAATCGAAATGCATGAAACTAAATGGAGGCCATCTAGAGCACATGCTGTAGAACGGAGAAAAGGCCGGGACCCTAGTGTTTTGATGCAATATTTTGAACATAACAGGTTAGCTAATTATGATCACAATTTCACTTCGTTCTGACGAGCCAAGTTACAGCTGGAGCCCGATTTTTTCTTTTTCCTTTTGTCACACAACCCTGAATTAGGCCGTTAGGTGTGTGCGCTGCCGCTGAGGAACGTCTCCGGCTTCTTTATTACAATCACCGCTGACTGTTTTATCTCGTACGTTCCTTAATCCTTTGTCCTCCGGTGTCTAGTGAGTACAAAATAACTGATAAGTTCATATTTGTGGATTGGAATTTACTCACAGATAATGATATATTCATTATTCATTATTAAATATTATATTTGCCTATTCCTTTTTCATCCATGACATATAGGCCCAAGCCTGCATCGCCGAATTTTTTGTTGTTGAAGCTGTCGAGCATGCTACAAACAATGTAGTTATAGCACAACATCGATGCCGATAAACGATTTGATTGATGATGCGCTCAACGCTAGACCGCCATGAAATGGAAACGAGGAATGAACAAATGCACTTGAAGCTATGACAATCCTAACGATTAAGAGGGTGATGTGATGACAGATCTGACATCATGTCTGCCAGTACTAGCTTGGCCTGCTTGGCCACGATAAGCCAATGAGTTTATGCTGGCCAAATTAGGCATACATTTACTTGCTTGCTCCTTGGTAAATCGTCACCAGCATCAGGACCGTTATTTCTGAATATTGCAAAAATTGCAAATAATCGCCTCTGCTCGCTTTGCTCGGAAAGGGCAAAGGTCAGCTTGTGCACGCGCCTTGCGGCGCGCCGGCTCTGAGCCGAGCCTGGAACTGGCCCTTCCACCCTGGCTGGACCGTCCAGGCTCAGTCACGTGTCGTCTGCCTGGAAACACGTGCCGTGGAAGAGCCCGCCGGCCGCACGCAGCGCACTGCAGACGGTCTTACTTCTCATGGATCCAATGACCCTTAGGCCTTATGCACGGATACGAAATATTTTCCCACGATAGATATCAATCAGCCTTTTTACGCACAACATCTCGATCTCTAGCCTCCAAAAACAGCCTCCGCCGTGACCCTGTCTCCAATCGAGTGAAAAGCCGCCCTGCGCACTCCCCTGCCCCGGCTGGCGGCGGTCCGCGGGCGGCCATGCTGGGTGACGTCACTGTAGCCAGTTGGCCGCGAGTCGTTGCAGAGAGAGGTTGTGCGTGAATTGTGTGCTCTGCTTGTACGGAAAGGAGCCCCGACACTGCCTCAAAATGTGCAAGTTTAACCTGACAGACGCCATTAGCACCAGCATCGGTGAGTAGGACCGAAATCACCCGTCAAAGGGGGAAATTGCACGGGACTTTGTGGACGGCCCTGCCCCCAATCGGCAGAGGCGGCTTCAGGCGAGCTGTCCGAGGGGGTCGGGTCGTGTTATAACCTTTCTCTTGGCGCCCTGTGTTCGCATGTCGTGACGTTTCGTATCTCATATTGTTCTCTCAGTTCCATTAAATGTCCGTGTTGCCTTGGGAAGCAATCCGTGGGGCTGGTTACGTCGGGTAATTGGCTCGCCCCTCGGGGTCGGACAGGGCTCGTATGTGACGCAGTTACAGGTTGAGGTCGTGCCCCCGAGCGACAGCAGGGGATGGAGTGACCTGTCAAACGCGGAAATAATACCAGAGCGGGAACGATTGATATCTTTGAGAGGAATATGGATTGGAACTTGATTGACTTATCTTTAACCATCAGGCAAACCGTACCTTTCCCAATGATTCCTATTTCACCGTCAGTAGGCAATTCAAATTAAAATGAATTAACAATACCAATAAGCACATTTTACCCCATATAGTCGTCCATTGCATAACGCTTCTCGTCGGAAAGGCCGAATACTGGTCCTGTTTTACTCCGTTTCGTAACGCGTGATTACCCAATCAGCCCGTGCAAGAAGGGGGTTGTGTTATCACTGTGGGAGTCCGTTATACCTCGTTATGCTGTTCTCGGGTCGGCGCTGTGTGCCCTTCTTGCACGCACTGGGAGTGAGAGCGCCTGCTCCAGCTGCCCGGAGACGCACTGAGGACCGCAGGGTGGGTGCACGAAGCCAAAGACCAGTCAGGCCTCTGGCCTAGAGAGAGAAAGGGAAGGGCAAATTAAACCAGGCATACGGGGTGCTTTATCAAAGTGCGTTGGCAAGGTAATTTACCCTACGACGGCGGGTGGAGGGTGTCAGGGTGATGGATCAATTATTGTCTTCTTGCCGGTATCTACCTAGGTACCTATTCTCTTGTTGCCGGTCTCCCTAACTCCGTCATTTTCTATCCTCCTCTCTTCCGATCTTTCTTTTCCGTTCCCCTTTCCCTCTCTCTCTCTCTCTCTCTCTCTCTCTCTCTCTCTCTCTCTCTCTCTCTCTCTCTCTCTCTCTCTCTCTCTCTCTCTCCATCCCTTCCCACTCCGCCCTTGCCTGCTCCCCGCCCCACGTCACCCCCTCTCACGTTCTCCCCGCTACCCATCCCTTCTACCCCTTCACCGTTATTCCGGACCGCAGAATGACGTAGCTGGATTACCGTCTGGGTTCCGCCACAGCTGGGACGGTGAATAGTCAGCATGCTGCAGCTGGAAATGTTGTTCTCTAAGTTCTAACCACTCAGCCGTCCGACTTCGCATGTGTGCTACAGCGGCCATGCAGTTTCATGAAACGCAAAGCTTGTGTCATTATCAGCCATTAACCGATGCAAAACATATCGGCTCATACGGATATCGGAGATGTCATGCTTGAGGTGGTATGATGGTATGGGGGCTTTCTTACTGCTGTCGAATTATGTTACTCTTTTCATGTCCGATAATCACCGTGCAGCCGTGGCTCCTCGTGGCCATGTGTTAGCTGTGCTCGTCTCACATCCGTGCCCTGGGTGTTATCGGCCGACCAGACTCTGTGCCTCGGTACTGCGGGCTTGCCTGGACTTTGAACCATTGTCTCAGGAAGAGGAGGCGCTGTTGATAGAGAAGAAGTCGCACTGCCCAACAGAGCTTTGTCGGGGTTTCGAGGGGGGGGGGGGGAATTAGGAGGCCTGACAAAGGGAGTTTTTTATTTATGAGGATTTTTCAGTGACAGGCCAGGCCAGTGAGAGTAGACTTTTGGCGCCTAGAATGGTGGTCTCCTACGTTGTCGTTTCGCCAAGTAATTATGAAGCAAAATAAACGTGGCTCGGATACTAAATGACTCCCCTGGCCCACGGCCCCTCTCGAATTTCAAAGCATCGAGCCGAGCCGTGTGCTGCAGGCCCTTTGCAATGGTGATAGTTTACCTTCGGGTGTCTGTTCGCGCTGCACAGTGCTGTTGACGGATAACATATGCACGCTGCTTTTGAATTGCAGATTTTCCATGAATTGATGCTAGTAGCCGTGCATTTTGGCGCCCGCGAATGGTCATGTGTGCACGGCGGCTGTCACTTCCAATTGGCGCCGTTGGGTCTCTGTTTATGAGCTTCACACGCCTTTGGATAAGCCTGGTTACACACGTTATATAAAGACGTTTTAGGAGTATTGGATGAAATTCGCGAAGCCCCGTCTTTTTACCGATATCCGCTCTCCGTTAGATATTATATTTCTGATTTGGCAGGGTTGTTCTGTACTCCAGGAAGCTCAGGCTCTCCTCTGAATTATGCTCTTCTTGTTTCTGTTTGACATTCATCAGTGGTTATTCGACAGCCACTAAACTCGGAAATGTGTATGATTTATTAGCTTTTTAGCGGCTATAAAGTCGTTGAAAATGGAGAACGAGTGCACTAGGAGATTGGGACCCATCCCATCCGGATGCAATGCGAAGCGCATGTCTCAGCGCTCTAAGACTCACGGTATGCCACAGCTCTGTAGACAACTCACGGGATGAGCTCAGACGCTATTCCTTTTCCCCGTGAGTTACGGCCCGTGGTACCGTGAATTTCGTTCTTGGTCTCCGTGAGCTGCGACTCGTATCTCCCTGAGTTTTTCTTCTTTGGTTCCGTTAGCTTTGGCTCGTGATAATGCATTGTCATTGTCACTTTTCGACCATTGCAATGGTCGAAAAGTTCAACTCTTGGCTCCACAGCTCAGCTCATAGGTTCGTTGGTGTCCCGTGTCAGGTTAGGTCTCCGTGAATTTCTACAAACTATTTGCACAGCCAATTCGTGATTGCCGCGAATCTAGTTAGTTTGTAGCTCACCGATGCTCTCGAATGGAATTGTGACCCGCATCCGAGTCGCGTTGTAGAGAAGCGCAGTTACCTTATTTATCACATTTTATCTTGTTAGTGCGTCATCAAACAGTGCGCAGGAGTCGTTTCCAGAAGTCGCCTTCACGTGCGAACGTCGGAAAACCGCAATCTGCGGGGTGTGTCGTCGATTTGCGATTCCGCAGGGCTTTGCGAGGTGCGGCGGGATCGTTGTCAATGATAAACTACGTTCGTGTTATTGAGATGCACTTCGTGCTCCCATCCTTGGCTGGTGCTATGGGCGTTGATGGGGCTTCGGGCACTGCTGCAACTGTGATGCGCGACGTGAGAGTGACATACAGAGGCACTGGGAGGCACGAGGTGGGCGCGTGATGCAGTGGCGCCTCCTGACCAGTTTTGGTGTCCTCTGGGTCTCTGGGAGCGTACCGAGCTGGGGTGAGGTGGTGATAGGACGGAATTACATTGGGAACGTAGAGTAGAGGTCGGGGTATATTAGGGAATGTTGCCGGGGAAATGTACATATAAAATGCTTCGGCTGTTGCTTTTGCATGGGGAACTCTCGCTGAGGATAAAAGGTCATGCATTTTTACCAGTTTCTGATAAGCTTTGCGATGCAAATACCAACCAAAGTTTGAGTGTTAATATGGTCTCTGTACATTACAAGAATTGGGGGAACTCCAAAGTTTGCAGTCGAATTCGTGAGCTCTCTCCAGTCTTCCCCGCGGCCCCGCTTGGTTTCCAGGCGGACTTGTTTCTACCCTCGTCCTTCACGGCCTCTCTGGTCCATGTGTTCCGTGCAGTCCAGCCACACGGGCACCTGGACTATCGGGACACCTGTTCTGTTCGTGGTCGTGTCGTCTACCTGCGCCGCTTTTGGGGAAAATCCATGTCGGCGACACGTCATGATGCTTCAGATGCTTGACGTGTTTCTTGGGATTACGATTGAAGTGATGTTGTGGAGCCTTGACATTTGTAAAGGGAATGCCTGACGGCTACAACAAACCATTGCTGATTGACGCTGCTCAAGCACCATGTTTTGTGTCCTGAACAGTACGGTTTTAGGCCCGGCTTGTCCACGGAGGCGGCCCTGCTTGACACTGTCACCTATGCCACAGAGAACATTGACAGGGGTGCCGTGACATCCCTTATCACGGCTGACACGTCCAAAGCCTTTGACAGTGTCGAGCATGGCCGCCTTCTGGACAAGCTGGGCTGGTACGGCATCGAGAGCCGCTGGTTTGCCGGCTGGCTGTGTAACCGCTCGCAGACTGTTCTCGCCCAGTCGGAGACTCGCTCCATCACCCACGGGGTCGTCCAGGGCTCGATCCTGGGACCAGTTTTGTTTTTATTGTATACTAACGACATCACCTCTTACCTGTGCGACACTAAGATCGTGGCCTACGCAGATGATCTCCAGCTGCTCGATTTTGATACTCCTGATAACATTCAATCATTGTACTCCCGACTAGAACGCACTTTGTCACGTACTCATGAATGGTTCCTCCAGAACAGGCTTAAAATCAATCCCGAGAAAACTGAAATGGTTTTTATCAAATCACAGCGCAGAAACATGGACGACAGGAACATCCAACTTTCATTCGGTGACTCATTTGTGTCTGCCTCGCAGAGCGTAAGAGTGCTGGGGGTCAATGTAGATGATAACTTAACGTGGGAGTCACACATCACCACCATCATTCAAAGATGTAACATGATCATCATTAGCATAGGTAGGATGCGCAACAGAATTCCACGCTGCACACGCAACCTTTTGATCGAAGCTCTGGTGCTCCCTCACATTCGGTATTGCGCTACTGTCTGGGGTGGTTGCAATAAAACTCAGAAAAATCGCTTGCAGAAAGTTCTAAATTTTGCTGTGCGGATTGTGGTGGGTCTCAGAAAGTTTGACCACATTACAGAGTCTAGAAGCCAGTTTAAGTGGGGAAAGATAGAGGATATCATTGGCATACAGGACAACGCTATGATCAAACGCACACTTACAAATCCAAACGCCTCAGAGTATCTTCGAGAGAAGCTCCTCAGTCGGGCCGACGTATGTTCTCGAACCACTCGAGCAACAGCAGGGGGACAGTTGCAGTTGCCGAGAGTTCGG